ACAAAAAATTAACTGGATGTGGTGACACGCGCCTGTAGTCTCAGCTACTCAGGAGGCTGAGGTGAGAGGATCGCTTGATCCTGGGGAGGTGCAGGTTGCAGTGAGCCAAGATCGCACACTGCATTCCAGCATGGGTCTCAGAGCCAGATCCTGTCTCAAATTAATCAATTAATTTAGATACCAAGACTTGATGTTGGGTGCATTTCTTCTCTCCCAACATTTCACAGAAAAAACATTTCTTACAGTTTAGACACTTAATTATGTGCTAGCACATTATATTTTCTAAGTGGCATGAATACTTTTTATTACGTTTATTCACAAAGATATCGTAACAGCTTATTATTACATATGTTCAAATGCAGCCACATGCAGAAGATGTTCAACTTGTTTAATGCAGAGAAAAATGTTCTTTTGGACTTTAAATGATACAAATCTACCTTAAAAATTTAAATTAAAGCAGACATATTAATTCAATTATTTGATATAGGTCCAAGATTTTTTCTTTAAATAAGTCTGTTATTTCAATTCCTTAATACTTTTCTTCTATGAAGCACACCTTCATAGAAGGATACACTTACGTATCCTCTAAATTTTCTCAGTGGAATGCGAAGTGAAAAAACACTCACAAATCAAATAAAAACTTCTACATTTTTGTGATTGTCCCACGGCTTTTAATAGTTTTCATCCACCTAATCAGACAACTCACCTTTACCAGGTGTTTCCAAAGCAGTCAACTTAGTTTTCTTAGAAACAACTCTTTTTCAGTCACATTTTATCAATTTACATATTTAAATTTCATAATAAAACAAGTATAACTGGAATCAACCAATTCAGAAAGAACCACAAATAACTCTAGGAAGGCATACAAACAAGAGCAAACTAGAAAATAGCTGAGATTCAAGTACCAATTGTAATCTCAGCACTGGCTGCTTTCCAGAGGACACCAAGTCACTTAATCCAGCAAAGTAGTAATAACAATATATTTGTTGAGATAGTAACTTTAATATTAGCATGCAACAGCATTATATTGGAGTTAACTTTCATATTTCATGTGTAAACTTTAGGATATAATCTTCCTTTTGAATATTTACTAGAATAGAATTGCCATCTAAATTTGTGTATACCAAATACCTCTTCCTTTTAAGGTTGCACAACTTCACTGAGGAAATATGGAAGTAACACATCTGCATTAGTGTTTCCACCATTCTGAAATGATACCAGACAAAACGAAGTGTTTACAATTTACTTATATATTTAAATGATATTAAATATCAAGTGGCATTTGTAATAAGCAAACCAAAATACATCTTCTTTATCCAATTTTCATCTTTGGTTTAATTTTCTTCTATTGTTTATAGGTTTTCTTACCATTATTCCCCCATGTTTGCTTTCCTTTTCATCTAATTCGCCTTTGGTTCTGCCATCTGCTCTAGCAGGATTAGCTCTATGTTGCTATATTTTACTTGGAAAAGGCATGGCCATTATTGAAAACACTGGAAATCAAAAGTAGCAAAAACAAAAGATAAGCTATAATTTAACAAAGCTTTATTCATACAGTGGCTGTTCTCAGGATCTCAATGATGTAACTCTACAAATTGAAAGTAGTCAACTTTGACTACAAACTCTAAGCTGCTAGAAGCAGGAAAGACTGCTAAAAAAATCTTCAATAGCAATCAATAAATTCTAAATTCTCCCAAAGAAACAAAAGATAGTTAACAAGTAAATTGAAATGGGTCCAAGGATCGTACTAAACACTTGATAATCACCTCATTTAACCCTTCTGGAATAAGTTCTGTTATCATCCTTTCATATTTTTTAATTGACCAGAAAATTGAGGCTTCCAGGTAGTTAAGAAGTGGGCCTAGGATTCCAGGACAGATCAATCTGTCTCTAAAGTCTGAGGTCTTGGCCATTATATTACACAGCAGGCTCAAGAATATTTCAAAAGAATTTGATCGAAAAGCAGATGCCAAGCTATTTTTAGAGTATTTTTTTCTTTTGAAGGGAATACACCATTCTAACCATAAACATAATAAATTATCGTTTTTCTCCCCCAGCTAAATCTGAATGCCTCTTTCTACCAGAATTCAAGGAATACTTATAAGTAAGTATTACAATTCCTCTAATATCCAACTATCCTGTTGAAAATCAGGGGAAAATCGGGCGAAGGGAGTTTTAAAAATATATAGGAAAAAAAATGTATTGGCACACAAGCCTGCTGAGATATGGACAAAAGGTATGAAGACAGATTCCTGTCTTCCCCACTGAAACCACCAGGATAAGTGAGACCATAGTGTCTTATTCAAATGTGGGCTGCGACTTCCTTCCAAAGAGTGCAATACAGAAAGGAGGTGGGTGGGGGGAAGGGTAATGTTATACAGTCGAGAAATCTAACTAACTCTACTTCAGCCAGATGATCAAGGTCCAACATTAACAATCATAAAAAGTTGGTGGTATGCATCTTTGATCTGATGCGATGGAAATGGCACTTTACTAACATGGTTTCCTCCCCATGTTAGTAAGCTCTGGTGCAGATAGGAGCTTAAAAAAATTATCTGAGTATGTCTCAATACAATAAAGGTCATCAAAAACAAGAATGAGGGCCGGGCGTGGTGGCTCACGCCTGTAATCCCAGCACTTTGGGAGGCCGAGGTGGGTGGATCACAAGGCCAAGAGATCAGGACCATGCTCGCCATGATGAAACCCCGTCTCTACTAAAAATACAAAAATTAGCCGGGTGTGGTGGCACGCGCCTGTAGTCCCAGCTACTCGGGAGGCTGAGGCTGAAGAATCGCTTGAACCCAGGAGGCGGAAGTTGCAGTGAGCCGAGACTGCGCCACTACACTACAGCCTGGCGACAGAGCAAGGTTCCGTCTCAAAAAAAAAAAAAATAAGAATGAGAAATCATTACAGCCAATAGGAACCCAAGGACACATGAGAACTAAAGGTAATTGCAGTATCCTTGACGAAATCCTGAATCAGAAAATAAGTATTAGATAAAAACTTAGGAATTCTGCAAAAGTACACATTTTAGTTAGTGATAACGTATACTGGCTCATTCGTTTGTAAGATGTTAATAGTGCTGAGTGCAGAATGCTAGGAACTTTCTGTATGGTCTTTGCAATTTTTCTGTAAAACTTTACTAAAAAATAAGGTCTATTTTAAAAACACATAAAATATGAAATGGCAGAATGTAAAAAACAGCTTAAATTTCTTTGGGACACATATTTTCTTGTTTCTCTTTACTAAAACTTGGAAAAGGTGAAAATTTTATACCACTGGACCATAATTCACTGAAAGTGGCAGTCATATTTGATCAGTTCCAACCAATAAATATTTTCTGGGCTATTCATGACATATACTTTGAATAAAATAAAAGATGATTATTAAAAATCATACTGGCCAGGTGCAGCAGTTCATGCCTATAATCCTAGCACTTTCTGAGGCAGGAAGATCACTTGAAGCCCAGAGTTCAAAACAAGCCAGGGCAGCCAAAGGAAACCCTATTTCTTAAAAATAACAAGTAACATCATATTTGGAAACCAACATGTGTTATATATGAATATATATAGCATCACTTTAAAAATAATTCACCAGTGCTAGAATAAAGCATAACCTACAAAACTACCTTTTAAATAATGAATTATAAAATATCAGAACAGCAAGGAACTTTAGATGCTTTCTACTCCAACCTCCTGATTTTATTAATATGGATACTAAAAATAAAATAAACGAGATTTGATCAGTGTTGAGGCTACTAATCAGAAATAACTAGTTCTGGTCTTTCAACTCCCAATACTACAATCTTCCCCCAGACAGTAATTCCACTCTGGTTATAGACGGGTCTCTTAGAAATATCTAATACTGTTTTAAGAAACATTCTAGTATCTAAATCTTTAGATGTGTTCTATGAAGGAACAAGTAGGGTGGCAGAAAAAAGTGGGGAATACTCCAGTAACCTTGCATTCATAACCTTCCTCAAAGCACTAAGCTTTGCAAAAACAATTTTTCATTTACATTTAGTCCTAATGTTATAAAGGTAACTAAATTATAAAGTTAATACATTCTGTTTGGTGCACTATTTATAAATAGACTATATTTAAACTGCCACTACTACACACGGGAGAGAGAAAGAGTTCTTTTTCTCATTGTTGCACCAAAAGAAATGAGAAAATAATGTATCAAGATTATGCAATGGCAAGTACTGTGATTATAAAGCAGAGATAACTGAATTGGCCAGTTAACTTCTGACTTCAAGAATATGTTGGTTCACAGACTAGAATGATCAAATCCAGTATCACTAAAGCCAAGCCAAATTAGGCCCCAACTATGACTGACTGGCCTCAATTTTAATATGCTGATGAGACATACACCCTTGTTCTCTCTAGACAACCAGTAGTAAAAGCGGGGATTCTGCCGCTGCTGCTGCTGCAGTGTAGGCGCCTAGAGTGATTCTTCAAGTTTGTGCCCAGGTCACAGACCAGCAGTGTTATACGCAGCCTGCTGGTTTTGACAACACAAAACAATTCTGTAGCTTTCTTCTCTCAACAAATAACCTTAGAGAGCCCAGCAATAATCAGTGCATCATCCAAAGTCACCATGATCCTAGCCACAAAAACTCTATCAATCCCAAGGGGTACTGTAGACAATGTTAGAAAAGCATTCCTTGGTACCAAGAATGGGGGATTAAGATTATTAGCTGCTGTCACTATTTCCTCCTGCCACAAAAAATAAACAGGTCTTCTCTTTCTCTTTTGCTCTAGGCTTAGGTTTAAAAGCATGTAAGTCAATAAACTCCTTGGAATGGATAAGAAATAGGGTAAACTGTTATGCTCCCTCTGTTTAATTCCTCTACTTAAACAGTCAACTAGAAGGAGTGATATAATCCATTTGTATGTGAAAGGTATGTCGATCAGGAAATCCATAACAGAATAGGCAAAAATGTTACATTTTCTGGCAAGCAATACATATTTATAAAGATAAAATGGAAAGAACACAGATAGGAGTGAACAATTTTTATTGAAACCCTCAAAGATTAAAGAGGACCAAATGGTGAGTTTGGGTACCATAACAGAAAATCTCACCTAACTGTACCATCATTCACAGGAATGAACAAACCCAAACACGACAAAATTCAAATTCTCGTGTAATTGCTACAAGTGAATGTAAATGAACTAATCATTTTATCATAACCTTCCTTTAATCATACGAAAAAGGGAATTTACATGGCATAACAAAAGATATGCAAAACTTAATGAAAACACAATTCTCTTAAATTTCTTAAACTTATTTTTAAAGGATGCAGAATGCACTTGAAATGATTAAATGACTTAAGCTGATTCTTTTTTTTTTTTTTTATTGCAAACTGTTTTAACATCAGCTTAACTCCCATGCATGGTATTCAAAAAGAACACAGCTTTCAAATTAGAAAGATCACTTAAATTAAAAAGAGAAATTAAGTACTAAAATTAGGAAAAGGCTGGGTTTCTTTTGAAAGGAATCTTCAAGTACCAATATGTATAGAGAAATACTAATTTGGTTACAGTTTCCTCCTTACTGTTAAATATACAAACTATAATACCTTTCAAAATAAAATACCCACATAAAATTGCTTTAATAAGAAATATTCAAGCCAGAACTTGAAAAAAACATTAAGCAAGAAATTTGCTGGGCCAATAATGTCTTAATTTGTGATCAAACATTTGATGATGTGTCTCCTCTTGTAGACCCCAGGCTCTCTCCCTTTTGGTCCCCATAGTTAAGAGACATTCGGTTGTGCTTGAGACAACCTGTAATAATTTCATTTAGAGGAAAAATATTTTGCGGTATAATGACAGACCAAGAAGGAAGAGAAGGTGGGTGCTCTGGAGAAAACTTATATGAGAAAAACACAAAACTATCACTTGAAAAGAAAAATGGTGGTTTTTTTTCCAAAGGAATGCTGCACCCATTTCGCTTAAGATTAGAAATCCAGGTTAAAGGCACTGGGATGTACTCCTCACCATGAATAGACTCTCAATTACATTTATTTCACATGTCTGAGTCTATTGCAGTCAGTCTGCTTGCTGAGTGCTTCCAAGACACTCTTACATAAAAACCTAATGTAAATTAAACGTTTGAAACCGTTTATAATGTAACTAGTTTTATAAAAATATCCAGAGTTGCTAATAAAGCACCAAGAAAAAAGAGAACCTCAGGGGGAGGACTCACATCCTTCCTACAAGGTCACCCTTTTATAGTATTCTCTAATAGGACCTCCAGAATGACGACAGTCATCTTTGACATGTCCTACCTATGTAATTTCAGGGATGTAGAACATTGCTGTGGTGACTATACCCAAATGCCACTTTTCATTATAAATAGTTAAGAGACATGTTACAAGATTTCATGGCTTACTCTTAAAAAGGTAAAATAGGTGCAATTTTCCTTTAAGAAAGTCTTTATTTTATAATATATCATTAATATTTTGATGTTCCCTTCAGTAAACACTGATATAACTAAACTGGGACTACTAAAGAACTGTGTAGTAGCTATGGTTATCTACAAATACTGTATTTTTTTCACTTGAATACAGTATTTGCACATTTTTAAAAAAACATTGTACAAAACAAAATTATATAAATGAAAGCCTCAAAGAAATATCCATCACTAGGTTTTTGAGTTGAAGTGACCAAAGACCATAGTAAATGAAAACATTTCTAAACATGATGTAAACATAAGAAGTAATGCAAAACATCAAGGTATTCAAATCTACTGTATTGCTATTTTCACCCTTAATGTATTTGTCTACATAGCTTTCTCCTTTTGAAATAGTAATACCTGGGGCAGTACATTATTTTCATAACCTTATGCCATCAAATCAATTAATACAGATGCTTGACACATTTAATTATACAAAATCAATTTGCTTCAAGATACAAAATTAATGTTGATATGTAATTAATGAAAAAAATAAGATGTTAAAAAGATAACTATAAGAATATCCAGATATATGCTGTATTCCCACTTATATAGATCTGATCAATAAAACATCAACACATTCACTTAGATACTGATTTAATCCATGGATCAAGGCCATATTTTCAAAGTATTTTAAGGATGCCAGGACACTGCAAAAGCTGGAGAAAAAAGCTGAGGAACAATATATGCTTGCTAAACAAGAACTATGTTTATTTAGCTAGTGAATACCTAGAGTAATAAATTTTTACTTCATGATAGCAATCAGGCTCGCAAACACCCAGAAATAGGAATTAAGGGTTTTAAATGTAGTTATAAAGGTCATAAAAAGTCTGATTAGACTGAGGTACATTTACTCAAAATTTTGAGATTCATTAAGTGGTAGCAAACAAAATAATTCCTCAGACAAATGCACATTTTTCAGTATACATATTAAGGGGGGGAGGAGGGAAGAAGAATGTGCATTAACTGGTGAAATCCACCAAGCTGCATATCAATATTCTGTTACACCAAACAGTTTGAAGACAAGGGAAATGTTCTAATATAATTTCAGATTATGTTTCATTTGGCTAAAATAGAGCTTAAGGTTGCTTTGCCATATTAAAAGTTTACTACAATAATTTTTCACATAAACATTTAGACTTGAACTCCAGGACTAAATATGGCATGATTATTTTGCTTTTAATCTGTCAAATAGCTAAAAATTGACAATTTAAAAACTACAACAAAGAAAAAGTTGAAGCAGTGTGACTCTTACATCATTGAACCACTTCTAATGGTTAACTGTTAGTATTTAACAAATTCAAAGAGTTAATGAATCCTTGCATTCATTCAGTCTTCTGTGCCTTAGCTAGGATGCATAATTACAAAAGACAGCAGATACTGGTAAAAGCTTCAGGACAGAAAGTGCTTGACGAAGTTACAGTTCTCAAGTGTGTTTGGTGAGAGTATAAGGGCAGATGCGATGATGAAAACCATTACAAGAGTCAATTTTGTGTTAAAGTGTTCAAAGATGTCACCTTAAGCAGAAAAAAAGCTTTAATAACGTCTTCTTTGACTTATTAGGCATTTCCAGAGTCTACATCATTAGTGTTGTAATTTTAACAAGACATCTCCATACGATTATTGTTTGTTTCTATTTCTCTCCTGAAAGAAAAACAGAAAGAATTATAATGAAAAACTTTCACTGTTTAAAGATTTAAACTATATTCATATATAATGTAAATCACATAAAATTCAAATGTAATTCACATACAATTCAAGTAATTCAAAACAACTGATAATTACCTTTATATACCCTAGTGAGATTATTTCCACAAAACACTTTAAATAAAGAACTCCCAAACACAAAGACCTATTTCAGGAGAGTATAGATCCTCTCCACAGCCCTCCCATCCCACAGGATTTTGTTTATGGTGAGAATATAATAACGTCTTTTCAGTCCTTTCAATGAGTTTTTGATCTTGAGGTGTCAAACAGACTAAAAACTACTGGCTGAGGTAGGAGTAGGAGAAAAAGGTTAAAAGTTACATTAAATTGCAGTACAATTGGATTCAATGAAAATTTTAGATTAATAAAAAAAAAACACTTTGAACCACAAATTTCCTGTGTCTCTTACACTCTCATTCAGCACCTATAACATTTCACATTAAAAAGTAAGATGAGGCCAGGCACCGTGGCTCATGACTCTAATTCCAGCACTTTGGAAGGCCGAGGCAGTTGGATCACTTGAGGTCAGGAGTTCAAATTCAGCCTGACCAACATGATGAACCCTGTTCTCTACTAAAAATACAAAAATTAGCTGGACATGGTGGTAGATGCCCGTAATCTCAGCTACTAGGGAGGCTGAGGCACGAGAATCGCTTGAACCTAGTAGGCGGAGGTTGCCGTGAGCCGAGATCACACCATTGCACTCCAGCCTGGGCAACAAGAGCAAAATTCCATCTCAAGGAAAAGGAAAAAGTAAGATGAGTATTAGACAAATTCAGCTTAATGCTAGCTTACGACATAATTGAGAGAAAAATTATAATTCCTATTTTAGAAAGCAAAAACTATTTGAACAAAAGTTAAACCGAGTTAATGTTTATTAGTAACCAAGTATTTATCTATTAACACTTCTGATTTAAAAAAAATGACTAGCATTGTACATGCCTATTAACTGAACACATCAAATAGTCTGTACGACCTTGATTTAATGTGTAACTTAGTGGTTCTAAAGCTAGTAACAAGAGTCACCTACCTGGATGGCACATCTGGGACCCAGAGCTCTGAAGTAGAACCCGAGAATTTGAATTTCTAGCAAGTTCACAGGTGATTCTGGACTGCTGGTCCAGACACTACATTTTGAAAACCACTGGTGTCTAACACATTATAAGACTCATACTTTGCTTTTGCTACTCTCTTTTTATTTTTGTAAATGAGTAAAACATGTTCCATAATAAACACAAATCATATTTTACAAGTGGTCAATTTAGTTTTCCATCCTCTGTGACACCACCTAAAAACTGTATTTTAAATTTCAAAGAGAACCTCAGTTCTCCTTGTTACTAAAAGTCCTTTCTTTTTCATTTTAATACATTCCTGGAACTTGAAGAGCATTGTTTCACACATAAAGCTAATAAAAGAAATGTCCTACTACATAACCATAATAGAAACTATTTCATAGACTGAGTATCAGTGAGATACACTGAAATGAAAGATTAAAATAACAAAAACAGACACAGCTAGCAAGGTTAAGCACATGTTTCAAAAGAGTAAACAAAAACAAAAATCTCACAATATCAGCAAAGAAAGAAAAGATAAAACAAGAATTTGGTACCATGAAGCTGTAGTCTAATTTTACAAAGGTCCTAAAACGTTTCACAAACCAGTTGAAACATAAAGAAAAAAAGTTTAATTCACTGCTGAAGGAAACAAATAGCTTTGGATGAGCAATTTGGAAGCACACTCTAGTTAGCTAGATATGAAATATACAGAGAAATGAAGTAAAAAGATGTGAGGGTATACTGCTCATTCTCCCCATAAAATAACTGACCAAGGCCGGGCGCGGTGGCTCAAGCCTGTAATCCCAGCACTTTGGGAGGCCGAGGCGGGTGGATCACGAGGTCAAGAGATCAAGACCATCCTGGTCAACATGGTGAAACCCCGTCTCTACTAAAAATACAAAAAATTAGCTGGGCATGGTGGCGCGTGCCTGTAGTCCCAGCTGCTCAGGAGGCTGAGGCAGGAGAATTGCCTGAACCCAGGAGGCGGAGGTTGCGGTGAGCCGAAATCGCGCCATTGCACTCCAGCCTGGGTAACAAGAGCGAAACTCCGTCTCAAAAAAAAAAAAAAAAAAAAAAAAAAAAATAACTGACCAAAACTTAAGAGAAATTTCTCAACTCCATGACGAGTCCTAGAAACTACAGGAAAAAAAATGCAACTCTTTTTAAGGATAAGTTAGACAAAGACTGGTTTAATGCAAGTGAGATGATCAGATATAACAATGAGGACCATTTGTTATGCTGTTTCAATTTGAATAGTAATCAACTATGTACTGTAACTAAATCACTAACATATACAGATTACATATATAATACAACTATATATATATATATATATTGTATAACTTCCAACTCAATGGACAAGAGGAGAATAAAGGAAATGCCCCAAAAGGACAGAAAAGAATGAGTTTGAAAAATCTAGATTAGAAAACACAATATAAGATGGTAGAAATGAGCATTTATATCATTTACAAATTTAAACTAGGAGTCACGATAAATGCAGGGTCATCAATGAAACCAGGTATCAGCTAAGAAAACTTTAAAATCCTGTTATACATGATTTATAAGAAATAAACCTAAAACATAAGGAAACAGAAGTTAAGATTAGTGGAGACATACAACAACACAAAGCTAATGAAAAGACTCATACAACTATACTGATATCAGATGGTGGACTTAAGTCAAAACCCACTGTTGGAGACAAAATGGTCACCACAGGCTGTATAACAGTTTTTGAAAAGCTATAACATTACTAAACTAAAACTATAATTTTAAATATATTAATAAGTTGTCAAGTACAAGAAGAAGCTGACAAATTTCTAAGACAGCAGGAAAACAACACATTTATACACTAGTAAAAATACAGATTGAGTACACGGAATACAGAAAACTGAGACAAATTATTACAAGGTACACATCCTACCAAGGTACACAATGAGCAACTATCAAGTGAACCTTAATAAATGTCAAAGAATTAGTATCATACAGATCACATTTTCCAACATGAATTTTGGAAACAAAACAGGTAACAAGGAAAAACCCAAGTTTGGAAATTCTAAAACATGGTTCTAAAAGTCTCCAAAAACATCATAATGGAAATTTTTTTTTTTTTTTTTTTGAGACGGAGTTTCGCTCTTGTTACCCAGGCTGGAGTGCAATGGCACGATCTCGGCTCACCGCAACCTCCGCCTCCTAGGTTCAGGCAATTCTCCTGCCTCAGCCTCCTGAGTAGCTGGGATTACAGGCACGTGCCACCATGCCCAGCTAATTTTTTGTAGTTTTAGTAGAGACGGGGTTTCACCATATTGACCAGGATGGTCTCGATCTCTTGACCTCGTGATCCACCCGCCTCGGCCTCCCAAAGTGCTGGGATTACAGGCTTGAGCCACCGCGCCCGGCCCATAATGGAAATTTTTTAAAAAATTAAAAAAGAAAAATTAAAAGCCTGTGTTTTAGAAGGAAAAAGAAAAGTCTTCGAAATGACTGATTTTTTAAAAATGAAGTCCAGATACAAAGACTTATTAATATTATTAGAAAATGAAAATGTTAACAAGCCAGTATGTCAATAAATCTGAATGGTTAAGACAAAATTAACAATTTTAAAAAGGTGGAGTTAGTAAGAAGTGCTTGGATTCAGTATACATTTGAAAGCAAAGCCATCAAGACTTACTAATGGATTAGATAAGGGGTTGGAAAGAATGAGTATCAAGGAGGAGTCCGGAACTTTTGGCCTAAACAATTGAAAAGAGAGTGGTATCATACCCTCTCCTCTACTAAGATAAAGTTTGCAGCAGGCAAAAAACATGAGTTACATTAAATTTAGGCTGTTATGAGACAACTAAAGATGTCAAATAGGCAACTGGATACATGAGTTTGCAGACAGGAGAAAAATGTCCAGATGGAATACAAATTTCAAAGTCCTCTGTGCATGGTAAAAGTCCATCAACAGAACTCAAGTCCTCTAAAAGTTTATGATCCATTTTCTAAAAACCTCTGCTTTAAGACGCCCCCCACCACCAAAAAAAAAACCCATATTTATATTACCAAGATGGACTGTTCCCGAGTGCCACTATTATTTTAATATAATATCTATGGGCATACTATCAGCTAGACTACTAAAAATGTGAGACTAAGAAATAATGAGCAGCCAGGCGCAGTGGCTCACGCCTGTAATCCCAGCACTTTGGGAGGCCAAGGTGGGTAGATCACCTGAGGTCAAGAGTTCAAGACCCGCCTGACCAACATGAGGAAACCCTGTCTTTACTAAAAATACAAAAATCAGCTGGGCATGCTGGCACACACCTGTAATCCCAGCTACTCAGGAGGCTGAAGCAGGAGAATTGCTTGAACCCACAAAGGTGGAGGTTGCAGTAAGCCAAGATTACACCACTGCCCTCTAGCCAGGCAACAGAGCCAGACTCTGTCTCAAAAAAAAAAAAAAAAAAAAAAAACAAGAAATAAAGAAAGGAATGATGAGCTATCAGTGATATCACTAACTTTCCATGTTATTATATAATGAGATATTACACATTTATTACATCATAATTACATGTACTGGTTATTACATAATGAGGTACTACATAGTTAACATCATAATTACACGCACTGGTGTGTTGCTGGAAAGTAACTCAGGGATAAAGGAAACCTGAATTACACAAAAATAGCCATACACCCGGAGAAGGACTAAGCCCCTAGGTATACTTTTAGACACTTCAGGCGGATTCTGAAATTTGAGGGTTGAATCTCTTGAAGAAAACTGAGTGGTACAGGGCTTCCTCTCTACCCTGAACTTAGGAAATACACTGGAGACCAGCATAGGATTCTAGATTGAAGATCAGAATTTGGCATATGGAAATGAGCCCAGAAAGAAGTTTACTGCCAACT